CTCCAACCGCGATGGCCTCCAACCTGATAGCGATGGTCTCCAACCTACGAGCGATGGACTCCAACCCAAGAGCGATGGCCTCCAACCAAGGAAATCCCAGGGTCAGTCAGCAATGACATTCATTGTCAATCGTTCCGCACCGGCTGGTTGCGGACTGGTTTGCAATGTACAAGCCTTCAGGAAAGCTCCTTTTTGACTCCCGCTGGCAAAAGGCCAATGTGGAGAGCTAAAGAACTAGCAGCTAGCACACTAGCATGAATAGAGTGGAGAGTTGGAATCCTCAAAACGCAACGAGGTCCATCAAAAGGACCCGCATAGCTTCTTTGGCAAAAAAAGCACCGTAAGCCTGTAAGTGGTCATATCAATTACAGGACCCTGCAGCATGACTCGATGCAGTAAAACACATCAAAACGCCACCATATACTTGAAGATTCTCAACACATCAAAGATCTCAACTCACCACTCGACCCCCGGAGGGCGGCCACCGCACGTTCCCTTTGGGAACCCGGTGCTGTGCTGTGCGCCGCGAGCGCCCCGGACGCCCTGTCACGAGCGTGTCGAGAAGCTCGATGCCTGCGGTGAGGGCGACTGGAAGCCATGCGGGTCAATCAGTCCCCCAAGGTAGGTCAATAGCCCACATCAAATCGAACATCGCAACATGCTGGGCTATTGACCATAGCTACATGATAGGTCATAGCCCCTGGGTTGGTTCTCGAACATCGCAACATGCTGGTCGACCGATTGGACCCTTTTACATGCCACACCGGGGGGCCTTTCTCCATCACGGCACGTGAAGATGGAGTATGTAGGATCTCATGCTATCACTGGTGCCAGCTCTTCGAACATGGTCAAGCTCATGTCACAGGCCCAACAAATGCATATTTTAAGCTGAAAGGTTCATGAACCCATACAACGCTTAGGTGACCTCGATCTCACATAATCAATTGATCCGTCCAGGACAGACAAACATACAACATGTGATCACATGTGTGCGTTTCGCATCTCAGTGTTGGAATACTCCAAAATTTGACATGCAGGTCGAAGGAACCATGATGTTCCCCATCCAAAGATCTCCGGTTTTGTTGTACAATGTTGTACATCTTACTTCCCTCATCCAGTGTCTAAGATCCTTCTGTCGCAGTTGAACATGTTGAATTCAAAGCTCTCTTCCAAAAACCGTGTTAACACCAGGAGCGTGGGTTTCATCATGTTTCATCTTTCAACTCGAGGGAGTAGACTCCGCATGACAAACTCTCCTAATTACATGATAGGACGACTCCGCAAACGTGACGCTGAATCATCCCACGTCCACATCTCTGGACACTGAACCCTGGCTACTTTGGCACACCCACACAGAAGTTCAGAACATGTACAGGCTCCTCAGAAGTTCAAACGCTTCTCTCTTCCGGCTTCCTGGAATAGGCCGTTGCTCCCTTCGACTGGACGGCGCGCGCGTTTTCCTGCGGCCGTTCGGCCCTCGTCGTCTCGTCTCGTCTTCAGTCTGGAGCCGTGCCGAAGTAAAACAACACACGAACCACTCGGCTGGTTAGTACCCTAGGGCTCCAACCATATCCTCAGAAGGTGGTTAGATCCCAAAAACCCACCCCAACCACCTTCTGAGAAGGTACTTGGAGCCCTAGGGGTAAGCCATGCGGTTCAACCAAGAACCCCGGGCCCCCAAAACGGAACCTCTCCGTCAGTGACCAACCTCCCCCCCGCCCGTGGTGGCGAAAACGGTGCGCACCTTGGAGAGCCCCTTCTCACCGGGTTTGATCCGCTGGAAGACTTGGCTATACCTCAAACGCCGATTGGATCGATGAAGTCAAAAAGACCTCTTTGAAGTCAACTCACTGGTTTGGGATCTGAGATCTCGGGTTTGGGGGATGGTAAAACATACGGACTTGCTCTGCACCTGTTTCCGGAAATCGTGTGAAGACCGGTGTGAAGAGCTGTGGCGCAAAGGACCCCACACACCCATTTCCTCATACCCTGTGGACGACTTTTCACCTGTCAAACCAACCCTGTGTCCGTCATAAGGAAACCACCATGTACAACCGACCAAAAAGCCTGCCTTCTCTTGGAGATTTGACCTTCACGGAGCTTCACGGACCTCTTGGAGTCTAGTAATGGCTCCAAGTATGTCAGTGATCTTTGAGAAAGCCATTGAAAGAAATGAGGTTGGAGACATTCAATAAATGGCGCCCGTGTCGACGGGTTCAGGTTCGCGAGTGCGTGTTGTCAGGGGTTCAGTTTTTTTCTGTCTGATAATGCTTAGCTTCTCAAACGTTGACACGGAGTATAGTTTTAAACAAAAGAACAAGAAAACATCATCACAAGGCTTCAAGGCAATGTCACTCCTGTATAAATCAAGAGAAACTGCTGGCAGCATATTTCGATGAATGTCTTAAATTGGCAAAAGTCCTGTACGGGTCAGGTGTTTTAGATGAGGATTGGCAAGGCTCAGTATGGCTCAATGCTTGATGATCGCCGTGGATACTTTAAAATCTATGACGGCAGGAGAGAATGAGAAAGCCTGCCTGCCTGGAACAATGGCAAACTCTACCATCAATGCCTTCGTGTGCCTCCCATGAACCCGACTTTCAGTGGTCTTCCCTCTGTCCCTGTCAGTCGCGTACATCCCGTATCGCGTGCATCCCGTGCGTGCCCAGAGGTGTACCCTCACCTTCCAAACCCTTCAGCCTCTGAAATAGGAACTGGATGAACCACCCTGCAAGCCGATAGTCGGCTAGCACAGTGATTGTGAGTTGTTTCCCAACACATTGTTCAAGAGAAGAGACCTGTCAGGCTTAGGTCTGACTTAGCCTGTCTAGACTTGCATTCGTTCCTGGCTCCGCTCCGTTGGCTGGGCCATCCTGCTGTGGCCCAGCCCAAGTCTCTCGGCTGGTCCTGGGGTCCGGTCGACCGATCTCAGTTGGTGTGCAGATGAAAGAGGAGTCTTAGGTCACTGAACTAACGATATATATATATATATACATAGTGTTATAATATAAGATATATAAGATATAAACCGATACAAATAAGAAATAAGATGATATAATACATATATATATTAGACTGCTCTGGATAATGTATATATATACATATTTGGTCTATCCTACTATTATCAGCGCCTCAGTAGATGATGATGCTTGGGTTGCAGGCCTTGTTCAAAAATAGTGACAATTGTTCACTGACTGTTGCTGGTAATAGGACAAACCCAAGATGTATATATACCCGGCTGAAGTCCAGTTTGACTATATCTTGACCGACTGATGTAAAGGAAACTCCTGAACTCGGGTCATCTAAAGACAATTATTTGTTTAGTATTTGACTCCCAGGGTGTATATATATATATATAATCATATAATATATTATGCTTGTAAATGTCTGTGGAAACACTTGGAATTGATATGAATTGATCCACAAAATGAACATATATCACTGAACCTAGTGGATTTGTCTCTAGTTGAGTCGGTTGATAATGTCTTCCATCGCGCCTGTGTCAAGACTTTAACATGCAATGGACTCTGTCAAACTGGCCTCTCATGTTCAATCAAGCTGATATTAGCAAGTCAACATGTACACATTCATACTTTGAACCCCTTATGCAAACTGTGCCAATTCTGTGACTCCCATTCAGGGGTCCCATGGTATTGAAGACGGGTTTTTCTAGCAGATCACAACTGGTGTATGATCTTCCCGAAAGTACCAAACTGGAAACAACGATATGTCAGCAAAGCTCTAACTCATGATGGCTCTAGCAAAATGAGTGTTGAAAAGGGTGCGTGGACAACCCGCACAACCCTATGCCCTAGGTGTTAGTCCAAATTTGTCATCCAATCCAAACATCTACTGGTGTTGATCATGACATGCTGACATTCCAAACATCTCCGTTCACCTTCATCACCCGACCCCTCGTCTCACTCGTCTCACACCGGGCATGCCCGGATCTGGGGATCTCCGACCTGGCCGCCTTGTCCAAGATCTTGTTGGTTCGCCAGCTGATCTCGGAAAAGCGGTTGGGCCTGCAGCGGTTGCAGATGCAGCGACGGCGATAGTCGTCTTCTCTTCCGCCGATGCGTACCGACGCGTTCCATGTGGTCTGGGATCATCGGCATGGTCGGGATCACAGAGGTCAGAGGTACTAGCTATGCGGGTACAGGAATGGGTAGCCGGGTAGCCACGGCATTGTCATCCTTGTTACACTTAGGTGGCGTAAGATCTTCAACACTTCTACAACATGGTTGGACAATCACCCAAGAAGGGATTTGTCCATGTCACTGAGTTTTATTATGCTTTATTGTTTCGGGGCAATCTTGCATCGGGGGACTCTTTCTGGAAACGAAAGTCCTGCAATGTCCTGCATCATCCTGCATCCCTGCATGCCCTTCTATTCTCATCAAAGGCGAAACGTGAAGAGGGTCCAGAGTGCTACCCTCAGGGTATTGACTGCTACTGAGACATTCAACAAAATCTCAATCTTTGGTGCTCATGAACCGATTTCACATCAAATGTCCCTCTCTCAGCAAATGAAGCCAATCCTCTCTCCATCAGGGCTTGCAGGGGGGGAAAGGCGATCGGAACCGCTGCTCTGCTCTGCATCGAAACCGTGCACCCCCAAAAAAACGGCTGCTGGACTCCGCTGCGTCTTCGATTCGCAACCACAACGATGAGTGAAGATGAAGAGCTCAAGTCCGCTGAAGAGCAGATTGGTTCTCACGAGTGAAAAACTCCCATCCAATCCATCAGACGGGTCGACCCCTGGACTCCGGACAACTGATAAAGACCAGGTCCCAAGTGGTCTGCGGCGGTTTTCTCGCGGGGCAATGGCCTTGGTCGATGGCGCAACTCGCGGGTTTGGCTGGCGTTTTCGCTTAAAGACACGCAAAAACACAACAAAACACACCACCCAAAGTTCCTACCTTTTTTTCCGAATTGCACCTGTCTAACAGTGGAGGTCTAACATCAAGTAATTATTACATAAAGGCACACGCATGTAACCCCCAGTTCGCCTTAGTCTCCCCATCGGAAGAAGGAACAAATTATACAATAACCAAATTTGGAATACAAGCTCAAGGTATTCTGAAGAATTCTCGAGGCGTCTGGCGACGACTCTCTTGCTTGTATGACTTCACTTCTACCAAGGCAAGTGGACCCCAAAAGGAAAAAGACTTGCCACGCTTGGAAGTATGATACACTCCCTGAAACAATCATGGAAGGGAACATAGGCGAATTTTCAGATCCTTTTCCTGTACTGAGGCTCAGTTCAGCTTCGGATAAATCCAACAACTTCCTGACTTCCTGGTTGGATTTCTGACCATCTACTTCCTACTTCCGTTGATCGCTCCTCAGCTTCCCGACCGGCCGCCTGTCTCCTGGCGGCAGACACGTCTCGGCACGTCGATCAGCGACGGGGCAATGGATTCCGTCTCGGCGCGTTGCGAGACCCATGCGATACGCAACACTCTCTGAATCGATGGCACATTGGACTCGCTCAGCCCGGCGAAAGGGCGACGCTCTCCCCAAGCGCCAGCGCTCCGTCGGCCGTCCAATGGAATTGACCAACTTCTCGCAGACTCCAGACCAAAAGTCTTCATGTTCGGACATATGGATGGATATGGGTGGAATTCCTCTCAAGCATCCGACCTCCAAGCAGCGGGAAGGATCCAAGCACCAACCTTTTGACAGGACGATCCGTCCTTGCTCGCTTTAATGGACCACTCAGGCGTCGTGTGCTCTGAAGAACCTCAGGGCCGTGAGGTTCCTCACTTCATCAACAGCCATCAAACATCGATGGGTTGGGTCTATCTCATTGCCATTGCCAAGTGGGATGATGCCGGGGTCTGGTTGCAGGCTTTTCTCAAAAAATGTGATGTTCTTGTTTACTGCGTATTTACAGGTCAGTTCGGACAAACCCAACCGATGGGTTCTCATGGGTCAACGCAGTTAATCTGCTGTTTTGCGGGACTCATTGTTCAAGGTCCGCAAACGCGCGAGCCCTCCAAAGTCGTGTGCAACAGAAAGTCTTCGATCCAGAAAGAACTCCAGACGGAACTGATGCTGTCTCCTGACAGAACTGATTCCCTGGAAAATAAAGGTCAACCTGTTCATCTAGTGGGGAAACTCCGGTAAACCACTCAAATTAAGGTTTCGCAGGTTATCAACTTTTCCTGGGTATGGATGGGAATCGTATTCCCAAACACTTGCTGCGCCGATGGTAGCTGAACTTAGGAGGTATCTTCCTGCAAACTCACGTGGAACCTGAGAATTTACCGGTGGTTTCGACCAATTTCCGAATACCAAGTGTGCGTGGCTTTGGAAGATATGATATGTCCATTTTGGTGAGTACAAGTACTATCTATACTGGCTGGTGACGACACATTCCTGGGCCGGCCTTTCTCCTTTTCTGTGGAAGAATTGTTGCTGGTCGAACCCAATGTCACCGGTGAGTCGCAGCCGCTTTCACTTCAGTTGAGCGGCCGCCATGTCAAATCACACCCAACAAACTCCGCTTTTGCTTTCACTCCCAAACGTTGAGGCTGCAGAACTATATGTAGAAACGGATAGAAATGGTATGACAATGTTTGGACTTCAGCTGTCTACCAGTACAACCAGTACAAAGAAACTCACTTCAAAAGCGGTTCGGAATACTTGTCATCAATTCATAGATTTCTGTCGTGGTTTGACCAATGGGCTCCCCAAGACCGAGCGTCTGTTCTGCCAAAGAGGATAAGAACCGAAACATATAACTGATATGATCGTTCCCAAACACTCCGGAGCTGGACTAGTTACAGGGTCATGTTTGTGGGGGTTCTCTGTATGTTAAATGTATGTCACTCACAAACAGATCCCATGCAGTGTCTGAGAATTGGACCGCAAGGCCGCAGGCCGCAGCCCCTGCCCTTGTTTTGGAGCTGAAGGCATGGGAGCGAAGGATCCCTTTGCAGCAGACCCTCGCGGACCGGTCCGGTGTTGGTTCCGCCGAGGTGCGAAGGCCCTGTTCATAGCTGAGCCCATGGTGGTAGTAGTGCCTCAGTGGCGTGCGCGAATGCGGACCGCGCCCGGGCCAAGGAGCATTTCTGGAGGGAAGAGAACAAAAGCGCCAGGGCTCAGATGATCATGTGTTATTCGGGTTTCAGCGGATTCGGTGGTGATCGAGTTGAGCCAAGGGTTGGCCGCTTTGTCTTTCTGAAAGTGCCTAAAGCTTTCAGGGATTCTTCACAAATTGAACTGCGACATCTTTGCCCGAACAAGGACTATATGACTATACGTGATATATGTATATATATATAAAATACCAGGCAGAACATCTCTGATTTGTGGATCCATTTGCCATCTGACAGACAAACTTGTACAGGCTTGCACCAACTTTCTCTAGTTGGGTGGAAAGGAAAGCATCGATCCAGTCTCTCTTAGCGCCGCCGCCATGCGCCGCCATGCGTCAATGTTGTGACTCGTGGTCACCTGGTAACATTTATCTTAACATGGCATCCCCCACACCGAAGTGAACCAGCGTTTTAATTGTGCAAGCTGGGCCATACAGTGAAGTAACGGCATAAACTTTGACTATTGTCAAGCTCAGCCCAGTCCACTTCTGAATTTTGTCTACAGTATTAATTCGTTGACCTGAGCACGAACAGTGATCTTTGCAAACATTCAAGACCAATCATTGAGCAACAAAAACAAGTAAGGGTACGCAGACATCCCAAGAAAAGACACGCCGCCAGCGCGCCATCTCACCCCACCCCAAATCCAGGTCATAGGCCCAGGTCCAGGGTTTTTCACCCCGGGCAAGTTCCGCTGCCAGATCTTGTCGCGATCCTCGGTGTGGTGCGCAGGCGCAGGCACCCAAACATGATCTGTGTTTTTGATAGGAAAGGGCCGTATTTGGGGTGGTTGGTGGTCCAAAACAGAGATCATTCAGGTTGAAGGGATAACGGGGTTACTTATATTACTATGACATCCGCGAAGGGGGAAAAGCGCAAAAGGGTCTGCTTCTGGCGGAAGGCGAGGCCAGGCCGAAAAAGGCGCGATGAGAGCGACACTGGGCAGCGGCAAGCGGAACTCGCGTGCTTCGAAACGACACGGGTGAACACGTGAACCTGGAGACTTCGGTCTGTTTGGACGGCTGAAATCCCTCCAACACTGGCTGTGATGTGAATCTGTGTGGTTTTTCCATGTGGATCCCCACTGATTCTGGCCCCAGCTGGCGTCTGTCCCCACCTCGAAGGGCATGAAGACGTGCTTCACCCGGGCGCTCCTTGGCAACCCATTTGATGTTTTTCGGCTGCTTTTCGTCGGCAAGTCGAAGGTTCACCAAAACTCCACTGTGCAGCTCAAGACATGGGAGAACTCCTATGCCTATGCGTTCCGACCCGGTCTAGAAGCTCAACCAGTCGACTGAGTCTAGACAAGTCGACCAGTCTGTCTACCCATTGAACCATTCGTCCAGGTCCTTCGGTCGTTCTGAGATCGGAAAGGCCCAGCCTGGTCAACCATCCTGATGGGATCTCCTGGCGGAATAGGATCGAACCAGGGGATAGGCCAAACGTCGAAACAAGAGTTGCTCTGAATCTTCACCGGAAGGAGATTTAACCAGCAAAAATACCATGCATAGCTGATCATGCATCATCTTATAGATATCTTAATGCCTTAAAACACAGGACATGCTCAATCAGATGCCTGTGGATGAACACCTGGAGCCGGTGGACCGACACCGGACCGACACCGAAAGCATGTCTGTCATGTCATTTTGACCCACAAGCCATAATATGAAACTGTGAGTCTAAAGTCTACTGAATTGCACAACGTGTGCGTACCAGCTCCAACATGCTCCAGCTCCACATGTTTCTGAAGGTTGTGAGTTAATGCTATAGTTCATATAGACCCTCCAAACCGACCCGGAGCTCACCCACCAGGGTGGCACCTTCAACACGGTCCAAGCGCTTCGGAGCGTGAAACACATGACATGGAGTCGATGCCGGAAGGAACACCTCTGGAGGATGAGAGGTTGACTTGGTCGTCCTGCAGTCCTGCTTCACACCTTGACCCTTTTACTCAACTTCTTTGCTGCATCGGAGCGGGACGTGTTCTCCTTCACGCTCGGAGGATTCTCGTTCACCCCCATTTCTCCCTTTGACTGGCACACGCAAACGCGTGGTCTGGCGTCTCTTTGCTTTGCTTCTCGGAGATCACTACTCTTATTCCTGCAACTGGGGCGCTTCCTGTGTCAGCTTCTTTGCTACATCATTGTGCCATCAGAAGACTTCACAATTAGAGGAGGTGTGTGTAGCTGCGTATGGCGGAAGAGGATGCGGCTTCTGTGTGTCTTAAGTGAAGCAGAAACAACAAGCTCGCTTGCAGCAAGTTTGAGTGCCTCTTCACAGCCGCAGAAAGTCGCAAAGTGCAGTCTGGGTCCACCAATACCAAGCAGATCCAAGCAGTGCATGCTGCTTACTTAAACCAAGAGAGGAGGTGAGGTTTATCGCAGCGGGAGAGTCTGAAAAGTTGCACAAGGCTTCAGTCAGCAGCTGGAGCTATGAGACCATCCATTCATTGTCCCTAGAAATCGAACCAGCATGTATTAAATGGCCTTTACCAAACAGCCATGGTTTCACTGCAACTGTAGAATAAATTTACACTAAAACCAGGTCTCAGCATGTAACAACCATGGTCTTGGACTTCCAGGGCGTGGTCTTGGTCCAGGGTGTGTTACTATTTGACCCAAAAGGAGTTAAGTTGTCCCACGTCTGCAAAAGGATGATTCAGGGCCCATCACACCTCGCCATCTGAATAGGCATGAAATACAGTGTAGTTTTGACCCTGATCCCCGGAAACGACGGAATCCCAAACATTTGTTGTTTGCGGAAGTCCACAGACTGGCGTTCTTGGTGCAAGCATTCCACCAACAACCCAAGGATTCCACTGAGAGAAAATGTTCGTGCTGCTACTGTTGGAGAAAATCTGAGTCTTCAACACAATCATGTCATACTTTCTTCACAAAAACGATTAAAAAACAACGTGTCTCGCAAGAGTGCTGCTTAGGTGGAAAAAAACACTGACCTTTTCTCATTTATTCATATTCAAATACAATTGAACTGAACCGATGTTCAATAGAAACTCTTGGAGGCACTCGGAATAGTGAGTTAAATCTGTCTGAAATGAAATGGTGAATTTGTCAGAGGGTGTTTCACAATGTTTTACCATGTTGATCCATGTTGTACCACTTCACCATTTCACAATTCCAGCCATCTATCTGTGGACCACGTTTTTCAATGTGAGTCTAGTGGGGAAAACAATATAATCAACCAGAAATTGCTTCTATAGTCATGTCAACCTCACCCCAACAGCTACAAAGGCCCCCTCAGAATGTAATTTTGAGATGATTCTTGATTGATTTGGCAAACCGAGAGACCATCCTCTTCAAACCAGCCCTCCACCACGGAAAATCCTTCGAATCCAGCCATCCACACCGCGGTGTCCCTCCGGCAGCTCAAACAGCCCAAGCACCTCGTATCTACGCGCCGTGGTCGGAAAGTCGCGCTCCACCGGGTAATGGCCAGGCCTCGGAGGCGAAAGGAGGAAGTGATTGTGATTGGCGGACCGTGGTGAACTAAGACTATGCCAAGTCGTACCTTCTGAGAAGGTACTTGGAACCCTATAGGGTCTTAAACCTTGGATTCAGTTCGAACTTTTGGCCCTCTTTGCAACACTTCCCGCACGGCTGTCTGCATATGCAACTGTCCTGGCCTGATTCCGCTCCTTCAAGTGGCTACCAAAACTGCCGTGGTCCAAACGGGTCCAAAGCATACATTGTTCCGCTTCTGGGATGGATCGCAGAATGTCAGGCCCAAAGGTACACTATAAACAACAATGCTTCGTTGCAAAAGACCCCAAACAGTGTTAACTGCGCCACGATTTCTGACACGTCCACGATCCCTTCACGCAAACTATAAAACGATGTTCAGTCCACGCTTTCCTCGTGCCTGCCATGCAAAATGACTTCATGTCTGGTGCACGGCACACACCAGCGAGACGAACGTAGCTTGAACCAGCGGGTCCCGTGTGCGACTCCGCGCAGTGCGAAGAAGGCACACGGACATCCCAAAGCCGGGAACGGCTTGTGCGAGACGATTTCCAAGCCGCGCCCCAAAAGTAGGAGCACGTGAAAACACATAGGAGTTTATTTAACTTACCGCAAGAACCCGTAACCCCTGTGTAGACACACGGATGAATTGGGAAAAAAAAAAACGTTCAAAAAAAAGAACATCTTGGCCACACCTCACTGGTGTTACAGCCATTTGGATGCCTGGGGAACCCCACGCCAAGTGGTCCGCAGACGTCTGAGTCCTGGAAGTGGAGTCAAAGGGATGAGTTTGAAGGACTTGTCTTCCTTGTGGCCTTCTAAACTTACATGGATTCTGAGTCAGTGGAATACTCGAACCCTGGAAAACGATTTGAATCACCATCCACAGTGATCTCTTGGGGGTTTTTGGCCTCCCCGGGATATCTATTGGGGGTACGGACACTGCATTCAGTGCAGCAACTTAACGACGTGCCGGTGAATTCTGGAGCCGCGATTTCTGGAGGAGACAGGAAAGACCTTCTGAAAGGAGGTCAAAGAAAATGTGTCAAATCCTCAATCCATCTGGTTTATTTGTCGAACCAGTGATTCTTGACGTTTGGATTTGTGTTGCATATGTTCTATCCCTTGCGACACAATTCTAAACAAGCGTGAAGAACTGGCCGTGCTTGCAAACTCCGGGCATGTGTACAACATGTTGTCAATTTGTCACACCAAACATACAAAAGCGGATTTAGCATCTCAACCATAAAAAGCTGACCACATGACTCATTCAAGCAAAGCAGCATCCCTGGCAGCATACCTGTCAAAAAAAATCCAAAAAAAACGTTGAGATGATCATGAAAACGATGCATAATATCTAATATATGTTGAGTTATGTTGACAAGAGTGCCTGGTTCTACTTACAGTAATCTGAGTTGTTTTCTTCTTTTTTCAGCACCCAAAGTCCCTGCAAAAAATCACACAAACGACGCGCAAAAGGCCAACGCAAAGAAGCTGCCTGGGGAGTGGTCGCCCCATCTCAGCATTGATGCCATTCTTGGAGATCGTGAAGACCGGCAAATTCCTGTCATGGCGCGCAACCAGTGGACCGGTTCCGGTTGTTTTTTCCACATCAAAGTGGTCAGAATAGATGGGTTGGGACCGACATGGTCAACCTAGGGAAACGGAGCTGAAATGGTTTTGACCCAATGCTATCTGAAAAGGGGTATACTTCCTGAAAAGACTCGTTGTATGGATTGTTTTGGGGGGACAAAGGGGACGTTTGACAGCATCGGATGCCTTTTTTGCCTGTCAAGGAGGAGTTGTCTTCGTCTTTTGGTGGTTTTTGGTTGTCTTTTGGTGGTTCTTAAGGTCATGCATGTGTTCTTTGGCTTCCTTTTCCAACGTAAAACACACCAAACACACCTCCAAACTCGAAAATCCTCTCTGTGGGTGACACTGGCGGCACCCGAGAAGCGCCTGTGTGCTGAGAAGTTCCCCAGGTATTGACGGAGCTCCAGGTGGCTAGGATAGTCTGACCTCAAAAAAGCAAGGGCATTTTGGCTCAATGACTCGTTTGGGTTTGGCAAAATGCATCCGCAAAGTTGGAATCCACGTCTTGCATAGATTGCGGAAAGGGTCAACATCTTGTCATACGTATTGTTTGAATCAAACGACATCCACTCTGCGGCGATGGAACTCTCCCACTGAGGAGCCCTTCTCAAGATCCATGTGACCAGATCACTGGATGACCAGTCTGAAGCTGTCCAACAGTCTGCTTCTGTCCTGTGCTGTCTTGCGAAGTGGGAGCCTGAAAGGACACTCTCCGATGTTAAAGACACACCCGAGGAAGCCCATGGATCATTGGTGTTGTTGTAGAACTGGAGATTCCGAAGCTAGGTGGCTGCGCTCCGAGCTGAACTTGTCATGCCTGTCATGATCTGACCCTCGTGTGTACACCCTCCAGGCGATCGCCTGGAGCAGGTTTTGAGCCAAATGCATTGTGGAGATCGCAGAACAAATAGGAAATGATAGGAGTTTGGGCCGTGATGGAACTGATGATGGACTAGTTGTGACGGCTTTGCATCGGTGGGTTGACTCCCTGCCGGTTTTCCATGCGGATTCCAAAACATCCCAAGACATAGAGATGTGTTTAAAGAACAACCTCCATAGTCAGAATGGCCACAGTCATCCTTTTGATCGTCCATCAATTGAGGGCCAGTCCTGATCCTCAGACTTCAGGACCCCCCACACTGACAAACATGTCACAAACATGTCACAAACTACATATATACAAACTGACCCCGCTCCGGGGTCGGAAGGGGGTCCGAAGGGGTTCGAACAGGGGTATAAAGCAGTTGGCTAAAAGCAGCACTGATATATCAGTAATTCATGCATGCATGGTAATTATCGTAATTATGTTATTAATACGTATTCACATGTGATATGTATATTAATATATCATTACCTATGTCATTACCTATGCCACAGGCCCAAGTTGTAAGTATAACTATATAACTATTATATCACTTAAGCTCTTGTTGTCAGTGCCAAGTGATATAAATACATGTTACTTCGGACACGCGGTCGTTTTCTCCACCGATCCGGTCGCCCGAGGGTCGCCGGTCGTCCAGGTACTCGTATTGTGAGGTCCAACACCGGCGAGCGCACCAAACTGTGGCCATGAGGAAATGGGAATGCACGAGGAAAATAACTCAGTCAATGACGACATTAGTAATAGAATGTATATATTTATTTTCACTTCCTTGTCTTTGACTCCAAATAGTGTTGATGTCTATAGTTCTCCGGCAGGTTGGTGTAAGGCTCTACTGCCACTCTTAGGTAACTCCATCCGCCAATCACTCCATCCGCTCGCTTCTTTTAAAGCTTGACACTCCGATTCAGAGAAGTCATCAAGTGATCGCGATCACTTTCCCTCACACTGAAAACACATTTCCCTGCTGGGACTGGACTCTACAGGTCGCTGGTTCGACCTCGACTCGTTGCCCTTCTGGATCCTCAACTAAAGACCTGGCAGTGAGGCCACTGGTAGATCTTGACCTGACTGGTGATTAGGCTTGACTTGACTGATTTGATGACCACCAAGATCTACCAAGTAGGACAGCTACACATCACCTTAACCCCTTACAAACGTTTAAACGCACTTATAGCGAGGGTCGTGTCACCTCTTTCGCGACCTCTCCAACCTCCGGGCTTCAGTGCTCGACGAGGGAACACGTCATCGCTCAAACCGAATCCTTGATCGGCCCGCCATTCCGGCGTACTGATGTTGGAGTCTTAAACGATCTGATCTGATCTTAGACAAGAAGGCGCGCCTTCTTTGTGGGAATAATCCAGTCCCACTGGTTGGTGCTTGAACACTCTTCCAGCTTCAAAACCATGTGTTTTTCCCCAAACCTGATGCTTAAAACTGGAAAAGTCTAGTCAAAGTAAATCAACACTGATCATAGAGTTCTTTTTCATGATTCCGAACCAGGTCTTCGCAGTCTCAACGTCGAGATCGTCGTTTGTGTACATTGAAAAAAGTGGAAAACACATAATGCATCAAAACATCTGAGATCATCTGAGATTCCCAAAACAAAACGTTCCATTAAAGTCCCACAAATGCACCAAGGCCACGGCTTGCGCCGCTTGCGCCACGTCCGTGCCCCAACAGTAGTCGCCCAGTTAGCAGCAGTGCAGATCGGATGGAAAAATCCAAACCCTCGACGTGAAGACTTTGACGCCAGGTTTGATGGTGTCGTCATGAGCTTGATTCACTCTCATCCTTAGAAGGCGGTGTCCATGCGAGTTTGACTCAGGGACAGGTCAAGGGACTTTGGGGACGACTTGATCTCAAGCGGCGCCAGAGCTGCCTCCGGTTGGAAGACTTTCGAGGAAACGAGAGATGATCCTGCTTTGCAAACTGGTGCTTGGTGGGAGATGAGGGCGTGAGCCCCGAAAAATAGATTCCCTAGGATCCTTTCATATATCCGTTCTCTCATTCCTTGCTAAGCACCAGTCAGTTTGGTGGAAAAAATTGGAAAAGTATCATCAAACACTGTAGTTCTGACGGAGGGGCTCCTGGAAATGCTCATGGTGGTTTTCGATGCTCCGCTGATGGGTGGCACACCCGGGTTCAGAATCCGTTAAAGCCGGCTGGACCCGGATGAAAAGTTCTCTGGTTTGACCCAACACAGGTGGTTTTTGACTCCACTACACCCAGGTTCAAAGACGCACATGGAACCTAGTCGAACCACTGCCCTAGAAGTCGTGGCCCACCATTGTCTTAATAGCCGGGTCATCCCGAACAACCATTGTTTTACTATGTTTTACTAAGGGCATTTACACAACAAAACCAGATCAACCATTAAAGCCAAATGGTCGACTTGACTTCCAGGGACTGGGTTGTATAAAGGAACATCCACTTCCAGGTTCCACGTGCGTCTCGGAACCCGGCTGTCATCCATGATTGTTTCTTACAGAGTGTAAGGGTTTTGAGAGGGCTTGAGACATCCTGGGACTAGAAGGATACGCTCGTGGCATATGGACAGCAAGGATACGATCAAATCAGGTGAAATCCAACTGTCCGTCCAAACGAAATCAGTCGAATTCAGTCGATGAAAAGGGTGTGTGACGTCTGAAGGGACACACTCTAGTCTCAACCTTGCCCAACCATCGATATTCAATAGGACTCTCGGCCTCTTAGGACTTGACATCGCTCTACAGGTCGAACCATCGACCGGGATGGACCGGATGGGGGGGTGTTCCTGACCCAAGCGCAGGGTGGAGCCCTGACCGAGCCCTGAAAGGGGAGCCCGAGACCGATGGAGACCGATGCCCTAAGGTTGAGGCTTTTCGAGACCAAACACCCTGCAACTGCACCCAGGTAGTTCGATTGCGGGGACTTCGTGTTCCCGGAACCGATTCACCACCAAAAACGAATGGAATCGAGTCATACCCTGACATTCATAGTGAGAACTGGGTCGGATGGATGTGGATGGCGCCACTGGAATTGGGTCTCGAGGGACTTTAATGGTCATCTGCAAGAAGTGGGCCCTTTCATCCACATAACCATGGATTCTTTCTTTCGAACTCCTCATAAAATGTGCATGTTCTAAAGAGGACTCTATATTGCATCTTATTGCACAGAACCAGCTCTAACTGACTTTAATGATCCAGTCCTTCCCCATCTCCGACCTCCCCTCCAGTCGCACTCGGCTCCCCTGCTCCCAGCCGGGAGTGCCGCGCGATCGCCGCCACCGTGGAGTGGAGACCCATCATCTCGTGCCCAAAGACCGTGGCACCTGGAAGAGTCTCGGAATCGCCGCCGCCGAACCGGACGGTATACCACCGGACCGTACCCGCCCCACGGCGGGCCGCCCCGGCCGGCGGTGGAAGCGGTGAATTCAGCAGTGAACGCGAAGGTGGGAGGCCATGGCGTTCGTAGACGTTGGAGGCCATCTATAGGAACGTAACAAGGAGTAGGTTGGAATCACTGGGACCCTGGGGGTGGCGCCTCTCAAGAGCGGTCGCAATATGCTATGTTAGAACACGCTGGGAAGAAACACACACGTGCTGCATGCGAGTGTGGAGGGTGTCCCAAAAGAAAGTCCAACAAACATATTCTCCATGCGAATGTGGAGGGTGTCCTTGAAGTCCCAACTCCTTTTCGGAGCTTTCCCAGCTCATCCTGTCTGATAGCCCTGCCTAGGCGGGCCAGGCAACTGGGTTCCTCTCGTTCGGGCTCTTCGAGGACATCCCAAATGACCTTGTCATTGGCGCCTCCACAGTGCTGTTCGTCGGGACGACTGACGACAGCGGCGACAGCGAGACGGACAGCGGCGGATTTCTCCGCTTCCTCTGCGCTTTCTCGTCTTCCGCTGAAGACGTGTCTTAAACCTTGTGCTTTCATGGTCAGATCGAGGAGTTGGTATGGTTTTAAACCAAGGGACCAACCCGACAACTAGACGGTGTTAAGTCGACTTAAGGGCCAAACCTGGTTCCAGGTCTCTGCTTTTCCAGTGATGTGGGGATGCCACCCGACGGAACTGGAATGTCTGCAATCCAGGTGAGTTTCACCGAAAAGAACAAACAAACATGAGAATTGATCACGGAAAAAAAACAAGAACGATACCCAGCAATCATGTTCCAACACGCTTCAGGGCTGCCAACTCCTCTGCAGTCCTATCAGAGTCTTCGGAGCTAAAACCGATACGCGCAACAAAAGCACCTCCCAACTGCCAAAAGTCCCGTCCAGTCTTGCGTGGATGCAACCTCAGTCTCATTTGCCCTGCCCAGTGTTTGGTTGCAGGTCCAAACACCACCGCTGGCCTCTCGCTGGGGCCTGAACAACTTGAAAGTTCCGTTAGTGGCTTAAGGGGACCCCCTCTCAAGGCCCCCCTGGATAAATTCTTTAAGCCATCCCCTAATTCCCTATGAAAAAGAACTGTATCTTGAGCAGTTCGATCATGCGAGCCACAATGCCATGGGCCATAAGCTGGCCAAACTGGGCGAGCGTAAGAGAGCATCAGGCCACCGGGACCGTCTCCTGGCCAACGAGAATATCATCCTAGAACTGCAGGCTAAGATGGCTCAAACTATTGGACACTGAGGGCCATATCCACCTTTTTGGGGTTGAACCGACAGGTTCTTCCGTGGTACGTCACCTGGGCTGTGGAACCATGGTTCGAACCTTCCGAGACACGGTCTGCGGGGGGCGATGGGCGGAGAGAGGACCCAACTCCCGTCGCCGCACCTGACATCACTTCCTTGCCAAGGATGATATCCTGGCGGAAGAAAACGCACAGCTGGCATAAGGACCGGAGAAGAGCTGTTGGAAAGAAGCTGGCACCAGAGTCCAGGCACAATAACATCAATAACTAGAACTACAAGAAGACGAGGACACGTTGGAATAGCCTCCGAAGCGGTGACATGACATGCTGAGTTCGGACATCGCTGATGTGTTTTTGTTGAGTGTTTTCCTGAGAACACGGTTACAAGCAAGAAGGGGAACGACATGGTTTCTACATCAATTTGCAAACCCTACAATGGTCGAAGGGTTCTCCAGCGCTTGAAGTCAGAATTCCTCCATACAGAATCTCCAGGGCAGTAGTAGTAGTAGTAGTAGTAGGAACTTGGATACCTGAAACCATCCAGAAAATCCAGAATAGTAGTAAAACATAGTAAAACCATCCTAGGTACTAGTAGAACCAACTTGGACACCTGGGAACACACTATCACTACTCTACTCTGAGGATCACCATCATATATCACCAACTTAGCACTCATTGACTCAAGACGCCTTCCCTCCCTCAAGGTCCCCACCCTCACCATTCCTTGGGTGTCTTCAGTGCAGCCACTCCAAATCAAGAACAAAATCACCCTTCATACAATGCATGAAAGGGAATCAAAGTAACCAAACAAAGCTAAACAAGTCAGCAAGAGCCTTCACCGGTGGATTCACTATAGCAAAGAGCCAGAAAAAAATAACAGACTAGCATGCATCCGTGATCATCTGTGGAGATTGCGAACAACGGGAAGAACCAACATGTAATGCAATCAGGGCGTTTGGAATTTGGGTAGGTAGACTCCTATATAGTGTCTAGATGTGTCTATAGACTTCTATACTTCACCACTGAAGTCTTTCATTCTGTAAAGAAGTGGAGTCTTCACATCATGCATGTCTTGCATCAACTACATAATCAATCATAATCACACATGTCTTCTTTTGGAAAATGTATGGTCCTCTCTAGCAACCTTGCAGACCCTCAAAAACCGCTTCCTCTTCAGCATCGTCGGTGAAATTAATCCCCCAATATGCCCGATGCGGCGCACCATGATGCTTCGGAGTTGAGGCACCTGACCGAGGCATCGACTGGTGCAGATCGACCAAATTCGAAGTGGTGCAACACTTCTTGTTGATACGCAAAAAACAACACAAGTCGAAGGGATTGACAAACCAAAGGATCCGTGTCGTAAGATAGTTTTAAACAAACACGGTCAAAACATGGTGACGATTGACATGGAATCCACACACAATGTTACCAACCAAGGGCTCATGGAAAGAATCGGAACACTACCAAAATGCATCAACATACATGAGGCCAGTTTGAAACGACGCGTCTGAACACATCCCATTTCAACACCTAAATGCTTTGGATGAACACGATTGAACTTGCTTCACCAATCGGAGAAAAACGCTTGAAGTTGACCTTCCCCAAACACTCCATGGGACTGGTACATATGGCCACATTGACCCCTTTTCAACCACCCCAATTGAGTGTCTGGGTCCAACAAGCTTTTTGGCAGTTTAAAACACATGTGTGTCATGTGCAGGGGCAAAGCGTACGCAAAGTATAACTTTGCGCCGCATACATCTGCATACATCTGCATGGTCGTTTCATCAAGGACTCGAGTCCTTCAGCGTCCTTCGGACTGTATGGACTTCTTCGCCTTCCGAGGTCCTGGGTCTGATTTACATGGTCTTAGGGAAATCCCATCACGGAGAACGCTGTGTGTAACAGTGTAGTACCCACCCATACCAACCCCCCCCCAACCACCGCGTTCGACGCCGCACGGGACCGGGGGACCCAAGGCTCGTCGGACATGGTGTTCCATTGGTGATCGACCTGGCGGAGTCCGGCAAAGGTCGCCCTTCGCTCGAAGGCGTCTTCATGGGGACACCCCTCTCTTGTCTGGCTTAGGGCGGGGGTTCTGGTGTATAGCATTATAGAGAGCTATGTGACAGGCTATGTGTAAACGACGGTCCAATTTGGTCCAAATTCTATCGTTTTGTTGATCGGGAAGACAACAAATGAATTAAACCAACTGACCCACTTCTTTGCATGACCAGACTCAAAACAACGCACGCGCAGTGCTGAGAAGTGCTTTATGAAGCACTTCTCAGCACTCCTTCAGAAGTGCTGGGTGACGTGAAGCACTTCGTTTGACGGAAACCTCTTCGTTCGAAAGCACCAAATTGAACGTCAAGGCCGGAAGGTCAAGCTACTTTGGGTCTATGGCTGCGGGTCATGGCGGGGGACCCTGGTTTTTCCCACGGAACATGAACAGAATCAACGACCTACAGAAGGTCAACCTACCAGCATGAAACTGGGCTCGGGTGTTGATCCGCCACCATATCTCATAGACCCAGGACACAGTTGATGATGACGCTTAGTGCAGGCCTTGTTCTTTCTTGCATAATCGTGCATAATCCTAGACCGACAAACCTACTGCTAGTGGGACACACCCTAAACCTGCTGAAAACCTCCGGCAACACCTGGAAACATTAAACTAAACTTAGGACCATCTAATGGGTGTCCTATGGACTACCCTACTTGATCCAAGGCCAGAGGCGTCAGAGGTGCGTCTGTTTGTCTTGTCCTGTATTTCATGCGGTGGTTCCACATGCGTGGTGTGGCACATGGTGTGGCCACATACGACATGCGCTGGTTGGTTGTCCTGTCCAGTTAAGGAATCATCCTCTTTGCCGAGATCGAGATGAAACTCTTGCCACTGTCACTGGCCGTGAGATTGATCCAAACCTGGATAGAAATGTAAACAATAAACAAATCAATTATCACATTCCGCAACTTGGGCTTCTGTTGAATAGTGGCTACTGTTGTATTCTGTCGGCGGTCGCACAAACATACAAAAACAATATCTATATAGATCTAGAATCTAGATGTCTGGAAAAGGTACCGACCCTTTAAGGGCAGAACATACATGCCCTAGGGCTCCAACCACATCCTCAGAAGGTGGTTAGACCCCCCTGGCACCCACCCCTGGCCCACCTTCGAAACGGAGGTAGGCCAGGAGCCCGAGGGATGAAACATCTAGATTCCCTGGAAAAGGATTGCCACTGGGGAGGAACATTGACATGGACACTACAGCATACCCCAAGTAGTGTAGTGACTTGTGTGTGTGTGTGTTACCTATACAATTACAAGGAGGGACTGGGTTACCCCAAAAATATACTCTATATTATATATATAAATCTGGGAAATATGAAACTCCAACTGAAACTCCACCACAGGCGTCCCCCCCGCTTCAATTTCATGTTTCAGGCAATGATACCAAATATATTGTTGTTGAATGTTTTTGATGGGTCACGGCGCGGATGAAACGTCATTATAGAACATCAATTGGACATACAGTAGTTGGTGATGTTCCATGTACCATACCTGCCAAACGATTCCTGTCGTCCTGGCTCCGTTCGTCCCCGGTCCGCGCCGAACCTCCTCGCTCTCCGATCGCCCGCCCGGTCACAGCGCCGAATCGCCCGGTCACCTCGCCACTTCGTGTCCAAGGCACCGCTTCGAGCAAGACCTTGGAGCCCAGCTCTAACTCGCTCTCGCTCGCCCAGCCTCGTGAACCCGCGAGTGAGGACCCGGTGACACAGACGGCGGCTTGGGGGACGGTGACGGAAAACGGGGGGACTACGCGGGGTCGAAATCGAAAAAAGAAAGGGACATTTACCATACCATAGTTGGGTGGTACTGCCACCTATGAAATCATTTTCATGGGCATATGATGGCATATGGAGTATAAAGGGACCGTGGTGGTTCGACCCGGATGGAATTGGAATGAAAACTTGTGGGTGATGTTCAGACCGGCCATCATCATCCATCATCATCCATCTGTGTTCACATGTGTTGTCCTTGGTATGTGTGTTTGGTCCGGTGTGTACCCACCGGCTGCAACAGCGTAAACGCGCAGTTGGGGCGACCCTGGACCTGAAACTCAGGATCAGCAGGGTTGACACAGGCGTGTGTCACCTGTAAAAGCGCAGAACACATCTTCTTGAGACAACGTTCTCACACACACGCGCAGAACAGTCTCTATGTCCCAAAGAAAATGATCCAAACTCTGCAGCCGGACCAGCGGGACCCAAAGCGATTGAACAGCAGACTACGCAGGTGATCTGGGCCATGGGTCCCAATGTCGCCCAGCACTGACATGGTGACCGTGGGCCATGAAAGCGTCGACCAGTCGACATGACCGTGTTCACTCCGGGAAGTGTAAAATCCCAAAGACTCCATGGGACTGGTGAACTGGACTGGATACAAACATGTCGACTAAAAACAATGAGAATGACATAGAATGACCCTTCCATGCAAGTAACTATCTATTCTAGTCCCTACCTGAGTGTGTGGGGATGTCACTATGACGAAGTGGTGAAGTATGGTGAAATGATGGTTGGACCTGATTTGTACTGTGTTTGTTTGTTTGAGAATCCCCACTCTTCTCTAGATACTGTTCTCTACTCTATGTTCTGCGCTCTTCAAGTCCTCGTTCCTTTCTAGAAGTCTTTCTACTCTACCTGCACTTGTCTCTAGAGCTCCTCAAGATTCTTCGGTATTTGCCCTACGTTAAGTCTCTATCTCGCTATTCAGCGCAGCTCATTGTTCCGACGCTTCGATACCCACAAAAGTTCCGAAAGAAGACGAGGACAACGACGATGCCGCAACGACCATGCCGCTCTCCCCCGCTCTCCCTGCCCTCATCCCTGCCCACCCCTGCCATCACGTGCCCGGATATTTCTATACACCATTATAAGCAAAGCGATTGATACCGGACACTTCTATATCGATGAAGCTCATTCAAAGCCCTCCTTCTACCATCTTCTAACCATGCATCGCTTACTTCTATCAGCTCTACAGCCAAGACAAAAACCGCAAAAACAAGAAGCAAATATGATGCTCTCCAACAGCTTTCAGGAACATCCTCCTTCCCATGAAAAGACGTCTCAACAGGCGTCGCGGCTTTCACAAACGCACGAGTACACATGCGTACCCGACCGAACCTAAAAACTGCTTACCCAGACGCTCATGGACCCTCCTAAGTGGGGCCGGACCCTTTTAAGTAGGGGTCCGGACCCTGAAATCCCTAGGACCCTAGGATTTTGAGGGACCAAGAGCTGTTTGGAGCGTCTGGGTAGTACGGATGTCATATGGGGTTTTCTGTGGAGGTCATTGAACGTTCATGGTCAGCTCAACCTGTCCGACGCTATCGCTATTCCAATGCGATGTTCCAAGTGGCAGGAATCGTCCAGATCGATTTCTTCACCTTCGGGATCCACCACTGCCACGATCCGCGCACCTGGAGGATCGTGGAACGCAGAGCGCTGGACGGAAGAGTGGCTTGTAGGGGAACAGGACCAAAGAGGTCAATGGTATGGCCACGTGAAACGTAGCAAAGCTGTGGAGCTTCAAACCCGTCTTGCAATGCCGTCACTCGAGACATTTGTGGACCAAAAGCTGAGATCGTTTCGCAAAGATGTGCCACCTCTGCAGAACCAGCATCCTGGAAACGTCTGGCCAATTGCCCTACAATGTCTGACTTGAATGGCAACTTGAGGTCTTCACCATGCCTGCTCAGACTGCCAGCTCAGACCGCCAACTTATTGGTACCCCAAAAGCGCCACGACCCCCATTCAAAAAGGATCGTCACGTATTGAAAAACCTCCTACTAAGGCCACCGGGCCTTCATGGCTTTTCAACAAGCTGAGCATTCGGACAACTCGTCGGCGACTTGAGATCATCCCCAATCTTTGTAATTAAATGAAATGAACATCATCTTTACGTTGTCCCGTCCTTTGTTGCTTCCGCTTCTACAAGTAAGTCTTGCATTGTTACCGCACCAACTCTTCACAATAACTCGCAAGTTTCTCATCTATGCTTCTCTTACGAACTTTGATCACTGAAGGTGGTCTGTTGCAACGCTCCTCCAACGTTGGGGTTCTCACCAACACTGGAATCTGTGCAATCTTCACCCTTCGGAACCACGGTTGGATCGATGGGAAGCCCTTAACGGGCGGGAACAAGCGCACTTTCCCACGTGCCAGGACCTCCAACGACCAGGAGGTCGAGCAAAAACCACATGACATATACATGGGTACAAACGAACAAACATGTGAAACTGCACCAGGGCATTAGCTATGGCTATAACTTATAACGATTTAGGTGGATGTTACTATGTCGATCCAATTTCACCTGATGAGAAACACAACGATCTGGCGTTTGGAAGATGTTAAAACACAAATAACAGCAATAAATAACAATTAAGAACATTGTTTCTTGAACGAAACCCTCATCATCCTTGAACACGCATCCAGTGCCTTTGGGGATCGTGTGCTGCTGAGATCTTGTCCTTAGTGGAGGGTGCGCTTGTGACATTGGTAAAATTGTGGGTGACTGGGGATGTCGCTGCTAATAGGTCTAAATAATTTTATGTATATTGTTTCACCAAAACAGGCCCCATGCCTGGTCATAGCCATGGGAGCACCATGAGCACCATGCTTCTTCTGGACTACTAGGAGCTCCTAGGTGCTCCTACCAGCAGTTCAAGTGCTTACTACACCAGTCGACTAGTCCTACCAGCCTCGGTGTCGGTAGGGTCGGACCCCCGGCCATCGGGGGATATCCAAGGCTCACTCTCAAATAGCCCCGGGGGTCCGCCACCAAGCAGGTCCGCGGTTCCGCGACCGTGGCGTGCCGCGACAAGCCGTACCTGCGAGGCCGAATCTCGCTGCCGTTCGCTGCCGGTACGAGCTGCAGGGAAACGAGCTGGTTCTGAGGTGGTGAGGTGGTGAGCAAAGAGGAAATGGATGTATTGTGATATGATGTGATATGTAATGAGTGTGTTTACATATCTACATATGTCCAGATGAAACAATCAAACAAACAAACAAACAAAATCAAGCAAATAACCCATCACTCCTGTGTGCTTGTTGGTTGCATCTCTCTTGAGTGCCTGTATGTGCCTCTAGCAGTGTGGCCAATGGCCCTTTAAACTGGGATTGAGTGTCAATCCATAGTTAGTGGTTCCCTCCAGTCTATCTTGCATTCAAGACACGGCTTCTGGGTCACCGACAGGGCCTCATGAACGCGTAGAGAACAGCACGAACTCAGGCAGTTGAGGTAAAAATGCAAGAAAACCGCCAGGCAATTGATATAAAGATTCCTTGTCGTTTTGCAAGCACCACAATTACATTCTCATTGTCACTAGTCGACATCAATTCGAAGGTCAAAATCAGACTTATATACCTACCGCAGTATCATGTTCACTTCAAGCTTTGACCATGGCTGACAAGTGGTCACCAACTGCTTGTAGCTAGCTCCTTGGCGCTTGGCTCTCTTTCCAAGGACTATATGCTCTCCGGTTCACCAGCTAGATGGATCTGGCAAATCCACCTACAGAATTGGATCTGCTAGACTCCGTCACAGCTTCCCATGCTCAGCACCCGACTCTTCAGCTTTCAATCGTCTGAAGTGAATCCTTCCCCATCTGAGGTTCTGACAGCCAAGTACATCTGTGAGAACTTTGGCATAAACACCTCAGAACAATTTCACAAATGAACATAAAACTCCGTTGATACCCTGCACAAAAGCTGCTAGCTCGCTCTATATATGCGGCTCTGCACAAGCTCTGCTCAAGCTCTGGAGTATTGCAGTCGTGTCTGGTGATGTTTTGACTTCTCTGGTAACTTGGTGTGATTGGGTTAATGTCCCTGAAACAATCATGGACGTGGAAAAAACACCGATTTGGTATGTGAAAAACAGTCTTCCAAAAGGCCATGTTCCACGTGTCCATGTTTGTTTGGACTCGTTCGGACTCCAAAAGAGTGCGGACAGCAAGCTGACATGAATTTTAGACACAAAGGACCACTTAAAATCTGTGTGCTTTTTTCCCTCTCTCTCTCTCTCTCCCTCTCCCTCCCTCCCTCCCTCCCTCCCTCCCTCTCGCTCTCTCACAACCCTTTATGAAGAGTTGTTCCACCATAGTCGACTAAAGTGGTTGATATATATTTTGTTTTTAGTGTTATGTATTTTTAAATAGTTTTAAGAGCTGGCTACAAATCTGCTGGCTTCAGTCAGAACAACTTTTCTCTTGTCAGTTTACGTGGAAAACTCAAAGTTCTGGGCCAAAGACATGAAGGAACTTCAGAACCGGTACTTTGATGAATATAATAGGAATACATGTGAATGAAGGAGAAAATAGATCTGATCTGAGTCGATTCGGCCTAAACGGCAGCACAATGGCACGTCCCTCTACCATGGGCAAACTCCTCAAAACATCTGGGGCACGATCAAGCAGATCATACACCCGGTCTGCTTCAGCAGGACACTCCAGAGCTTTAGCAACACTCCAGAAGGAGGCACGAGGCGCGCTGTAAACAATGCTCCATGGTCCAAGGCCGCTCAATGAAGCAACAGCCGCAGGGAATCCCCAGGTCTTAATGTAATAGAAAAAGAACTGAAGAACTGGTGTACCATGGTGTACCAAATGCCAGTCCACGTGGTAGTCCACAGATTGGCATGATTGCTCGCCTTCCGGCAGGCCAAGCTATTCTGGTCCTCCCATTGGCCCTGAAAATGACATTCTAGAATGCCTGTATACATTGGACTTGAGTGAATCAAACCACTCCTTGCCGTTAACCAAGAGCTGCTCAATGATGACCGAGAGCTTTGAGGATTCGTTGACCACCGAGGGCACCAAACGAACGCAGATTCTTGACGCGACGCGCTGCGGTCGGTGAAGGCCTTGCTGCCATGTAGCGGACTTGATGCTATTCCCACATCCGATTCGTCTTGCACTCCCTCAGCCACCGGAGGCGAGCTGAAGGAGGAATCGCCTCCGCCGGCCGATTGCGCTCCAGGACTCAGCCTTGCAAGGACTCAGCCGGAAAAAGCCGATCCGGTCGTGATGCCATCATATGGCATGTGATTGTTCACCGGGAACTGCGCCATACTTGCTGCTCTTGGCGGACAATCCTTGCATTGCGCGTTTAGGCAAAGCAAGATTAGCTAGGAACGCAAAGTAAACTGCTTGAGTCGCTTTTTCTCTGCAAACCACTGGCTTACTGGCTTGTCTTCATCTCCTCCAAAAACCATGTCGTTTTCCTTGCAGAGCGTTGTTTGGACCCCAAATCGACGCAAAGAATTCTGTGGTCCGACATCGAAGTACTGTGGTCGCTGTAGCACATCGTTGCCTGGGCAAAACGAATCAGGTCGTTGCCTCCGTCCGGAGATGGTCCAACACCTCTCGGTCTTCTGGTTCCGTGAGTTGTTCCGGGGACCTGCGACTCTAAGACCTGCATTTCAGACTCAGACCTCTACCAGCTGTCTACCAGTGTCTTTCAGACCTCTCGGCCTCCTTGGCCTCAGCTCTTAACAGATCCAGGAATGTCCCAAAGCCAAGCGCGCTCGCCCGCCCCGAGTGGCCGCTTGGGAGTGACCTGGCCTGCTGGCCCCGCCCGCGGTAAAAGCGAGCACAGCCTTTGAGGAACTATGTACTTATAACTCCTCTTGGAAGTTTTTGATGAGCTAAGCAGCGCAAGCAACTCAAGAATCTTGAGAAAAGAACAAAAAGACTGTCCTTCTCATGACTGAACCCTTGGATCCGTTCAACTGGCATTTAAACTTGACATGGCTTTCCAATCCACACGTCCCGCCTTCTCCTTTTCACGGTGCCCGTCGAGACCGGTCCACCCCTTGGCCGGTCCACGTTCGTCGCACGTCCTCGGGGTGCCGGGCGAAGCCAAAGCCGTCGATGGGCGGCCCCAAGCCAGGCCAGAAGGGCGGCGCCCGGGAGCGCGTGGTGGCCTCGGTCGGCGGTCGGCCGCCGCGATCGTTCAGGTCCTCGCGACCCGGAGGGGGATCGTAAGGCGCTTTTGCGCGCCATTCGGTGGAGGACATGGTGAAGATGGTGGTGCAACGTGGTAAATGGATGGTGTTTTTAATTTTTGGTAAGTTTTGGTAGTGCATGCGACTCGGATCCACATGTGATATGACGTACATGATCGAATCTGCTTAATTCATTCTCCTGGACTGAGTTGGACTTGAATCCCAAATCCCAAATGGCCACAAGACCTGCAGCCAAACATCCTCTGTGTAGCAAAGCAATTCTGGGGATATACCCACCCCAACCAAAACGATACATACCCATGCACCCACAAGAATCGTTTACTAAATAAAGGAATTAAATAAGATGCTTAAGATGCTCTTAAAGCGTTTCCATGTCCTATTTTCCCCGAAATCTCCCTGAACTATTCTTCCCGGCCGATGACTCGGCTGGTCCCCGTCGGATTCGGCCCTTTGTCCGACCGATGACTCCGAAGGTCGCGAGGCTACGCCTCGCGCCCCGCGCGGGGGCGCGGTGCCAAGGGGCGTAGGACTCTAAGCTTCCATGTGCCAAGCTGGTGATGGTCAGCCCCGCGTGATGTCCCATGAACTCCTGAGGCTGAGTAGTGTCAGCAGGAGCGGCGTATGAAAGGAAAAAGTGTCAGCAGGAGCTTGGAATTTGGGATGTCTGCATTGAAACGGTAGCATAGTAGCCGTGCAAGGACTATAGAGTGTTGGAATAGACTTGAAAGAGCTTGGAGGTGATCATGTATTACATAATTTGTATTATGTATTATATAATGTATATTTATACATCACAAGACAGTTGGTGCTTGGGTCACACCTCAACAAGCTATCCCACATATTTTGTTTTTTGGGGGGGCTGGCAGGTGAGCAGTCTCCATACAAGTTGCAATGAGTGACACATCATCAGTGTCAGATCTAGAACCAATTAGAACGGATACATAATCTTCTTGCAGTAGTATAATCACCTGCAGCTTTAGGTGGAACACCCTTCTGGGCAAAACAAAACAGGCAAAACAGCTGTTTGGCTGGCGGGCAATGGCCACATTCTATTCAATTGATACTCAATATGTGTTGCGTCCCATGTCAGAAATGGTATCAATTCAGCGCAAGGCCGTTGAACATCCCACTGTAAAGAAATATCTGTCCAACTCTAAGTCCACAGAGTCGGAGTCGTCAAAACCATGCAAACTGATTGACATCGAGGTGACCAAACGAAACATGTCATCTGTTGTGTCACATCCATTCAAACCAAAATAACCCAATTCCTGCGAAAGCGAGCCGTTAGGGCCCTGCTCGGTCCCACTGTTTCGGACTTGAAGTCGAAAGGTCCTGAAAATGCATGCAACGAAAGCCAAAGGTCCGTGGACCTGAGGCTTGAGCAACGGTGCTGAGCGGTCGATGAGTGGGCTTCCGAACAACAAAACATGGAACTTAGCAGGATCACGCAGGAAAAACACCCTAAAATCCAGGGAAATTGTGATGAATCCTGCTGGTCAAAGGGTCGAATTTGTGATGCACTGTGTGTTCATATGTGTTCACCTATATTGCATTGAGCGCCCGCTTGCAATGAAAGAACGTACTGGAGTCAATTGGAAAAAAACTATATACACACCTTCCAACTCGTTCGAACCTCCTGCCATGATGGAACTCTCACAGTAAATGAACTCTCGCAGTAAAGGAGCCTTGATTGTAGGAAAGTTGAAGTTCCAGTTAGACTTGGACAAGTTAGAGTTTGGACCAGTTCTCCACTTGTTTCCCAAAAGGTCTGAGCTCTTTCATACTTATAGTCTATAGTCTTCAGTAGACCCCAACATCCGACCAGTGGTTTGAGCCCGTGTTCTGCCTGTGGCATATGTCGCAGGGCGGAAGTACGGTCTGAGCCGAAGGGATTGAAAACAGCCTCCCCGTGTTAGGTATCGTCCAAGTGGTCATATCCTTCAGATCCTTCGAAGACTTTGTCTCATTTCTGATTCCTTTCAAGTCAAGGGACTATCAACCCCGGCCACCTTTGTTCAGTGAAGTGGTCATTCGGGGTGCACAGCTGCCATGGTGCAATGAAAAACGGTCCAGTCTTCCACTCTGTTCGCGTGCAGGTGTGCGGCATAATGTTGGACGTTGCTTAGTAAGTATATTTCCTTTAGGAAAATATATTTATTAATTCTTAATACTACTAAGCCGGTTGCCTTTCTGAGAGTATTGATAAGTATAGGTTTCCATAGTTCTTCTTCAAAACTGACAGCTTCCCAAAAATTCCCTAATCAATCCTTTATGATATGTATAAAGATTGCTCCTAAACAAATTTTCAAGGTAGTAGACCAGGAAGGCCCGTGATCCTCAATAATGAATTTTGTTTTAAGGGTCCTCAATTGTGCAAAGTTTTTTCCTGAAGAAACAAACTAGTAAAAATCCATCACAGTTGATCTTCATAGTAATATAAGTAGTGCTACTACTACTACTACTGCTACTACTACAACTACAACTACAACTACAATTACTACTACTACTACAAAGAGAGAAAGGAAAATGAATACTGTAATGCTACAATCAATTTCAAAAACCCAGTTTTGTTTTGGTGGTAGTTTATTATAGAGGCTCCCCCGTTTGTTTGAGGGGGCGGGTCCCTTTTTCTGATCAAGATCCAACATTACCGATAGAAGGGCACGAATTCCCACCATTTCACAACGGCCACCTCAGCCACACCAACCTCCACTCACCTCCTCCATCACTTCTGAAACCACATCCAACACCAAGTGGCCCAGGAAGAGACCCCGCAAGCTCAAAGGCTTGGGACATCGCGCGCGGGCAATGTGCAAGCGCGAATCGCTGATCGCGAGCCTGGCGCGAGACCAGTCGGAGTTTTTCACCCGTCGCGTGCGGACGCCGCAGGAGACCAGGTTTGGGCAGGTGTTGGTGATGAACCGCTGCCAAAGGATCGTTGAATTTCTGGCTATGGAATGGTCTATGTTGGAAAAGTGTGTTAGAACTTGCGTTAGACTACTACGTGTCATGATGTGTGAGGCTGAAACTGTTCCAAGACGCCTGAGAGGGATCTGATAGGGAGAACAAGAACTGTTGGAACGTTACAGTTTGTCTCAAAAAATAAGGTGGTCAATCCGGTGCTTGGTTTCTGTTTCTAATCAAATCAGCTGGGAATGAAAAACCGTTTGGGATTCCACCACATAAAATCTGGGATGCCTTTCTCGATTTAGTGCTCCGATCGGATCTTGCAAGCTGGCCATTTCCCGTCTAGCATGCGGGACCGTCTGCAGGACTTGCGGTGGTTCCCTGATTTCGTTGACGAAATGCATAAGTCGAATCAGAATGAATCAGATTCGACTCTCCCGCGCGTCCTCCCCCTTTCCATGAAAAAGCTGTCAGCAAAGTCAAGCTAATCCTCAAGGGCCAAGTTCCAGGGGAAGACCCGGAGCCCAAACGATCCCAAACGTCCAGACACCTCGCCATCCACGACTCACACACATCAAGATCCGGGTCCATGGCAGGTGGCAGCTTGTTATGCATTTATGGGGGCCACATATCACGGCACTGTCGTGCCAAAAGGATCCCATCAAACCAGGTCTCGTGGGGAGCACGGGGAGCACGTACACCACCGGAGCTTTCTCATCCTGTCGCCAAAGTCGCAAGGAAGTGTAGTCAAAGGGATCAGTGAAATGCCCTGTCTCGTGCAACCTGAGTGTGCCGTGCAGCGCGCAAAGCGCTTTGCAGCGCCACGGGGGCCAGGGGTCTGCCACTATCCAACTCCTTGCTCATCCAAAGGGCACCTGCCAATAGAAAAAGCTTCCACAAATCATAGGGTGGTCTCTTTGGTCTCAATCTGTTCGATCCATCTGTAGCCCACGGTCCAGGCTTCACAAGTGAGACTGTTGTTGAGTGTTGTTTGCCTTTCTGGTCCAAATGCACTATTGTGATGAAATAGGAAAGGAATCCGGGGTCATCCTGCTCAAGCTGATTTGCTCCCAAACCATGCAACGGTCTTTGGATGTTCAACGTGACTTGATCGAGGGGAGTCACGTCGTTCAAAATGGATTTGTTTGTCTAATAGGATGGCCAGTAGGTTAGATGGCCAGTAGGTTGGAGGCCATCACTATTATTGTTCATCAACTATGTAGGCAGATCGGCTCTCCAACTCCAATAAACCCAACCTGCACATCCCAAAAACAATGGAACTCACCCAACTTCATGGACGAGATTCATAGGAGCTGAAAAGCAATTCCAGTCACATCCCACTTGGCACTGTCAGACAGTGTCACCAGCCAAGTGAGGGTCAAAACAACTCCAACCTAGCTGAACATATTAGCCTTTTTGTGTTTCATCTTGGATTTGGTGCTTGGAACTTCTCGAGCTTTTGCATGACGTATTTGGTATGGAAGGTACGAAACGGTTAAAACCAGTGGCAAGAACATTAATAAACAAGCAACTTACATATCTTTGTGGATAAATTGTATAGATAGGGGGGGCCTTTGGTCGTTTTTCATTCATACATTCCTGGGTGGGCCTGGGTGGGTAGGGATACTTACATCGTTCGCTTAAAACCCAGTGGCTTCCACTCCCATATGAGCTCCTCATCGGGCAGAAGCAGGTCGCGTTTCCTTGGAGAGCAGATACACTCATGGGACCATCTGGCTGTCTTCAAACCAAAAGAAATACCTCATGAAAGGTGATATCCTAGAACTCCACATGAACAGGAAAGACAACTCAATATATATGATTATTAAATAGTTGATTTCAATTCGCTTCCACTGCTGAAAGTACATGTTGTGTTCCTTCAAAGAACCATGACAGAGCCTTCCAGAACATCCCATCCAAACGAGAATTGACCAAACCAAACCGTCCATTTCGTCCGCCCCCTTTTCCGTTCGAAACCACCACCGGTCGGTCCGCTCGGACGTGCCCGGTCCGCCGGGTGTCATGGAGATCCCAAAGATCTCGGCCGTGCCCAAACACGCCACCTGCAGAAGACGAGTGGACAGAGTGGAGCGGACGGATGAGATCGGAGGTTGAGCACCACCCCGATTTACTTCCTCAAGGTTCATACGTTAACCATGGGCCCCCAGGATGTATCATACCCCTGAATTCCCTCAAATGTCCCCAAGGTTCACACCCCGAATCCAATTTGAGGTTTATACCACTACCCCAGGTCCAAAAATGGTCGGATCTTCCAACTCACCTGGGTGCATGTCCGGACCCAAGAACATGGTCCAAGGGACGAGGAGAGCGGCAACAAACACATGCAGAAAACGTGCCGAGGCTCTACTGGTCATATGTAGTACACCCCGGTGTCGACGATCGCATGGAACCTGACCACCCCTGGTTGGTAGAGGAAAATCGTCGAAACCATGGGACCAGCCAGTCAGGGTCTATGTTAGTTTTCGGGAGTGTATATCATGTGGCTGTGGGTCAAAACCATGGAGACGGAGACATGGTCAACCTTCCGTCCGGTTCAAAGACTTAGGCTTGAACGACCCACAGTCATATGCTTGTACCATCCGGTCCTGGACTGCCGGTACTGATTACACAGAGAGGACGCTTTTTCTATGTCATTTCTCGTGCTGTCAGAGTCCTGCAATGGAACACATGTAATTCTGGACGGTTGTTTGTCAACATGTCCAAAACAACAACCACTGTTTTTCACGAATGAAAGTCAGACTGTAACGAGCACTGACCTGTGTCCGGGTTCTGCTTCTTCCCTACGGGTCTACACCTTCCGATCTTCTGATGTCAAAAATTATCTAAAACCCTCAAAAAACAAACACCATTCTGCATGTGTACCAGGACCTTCCCAGTGACCTTCTTGGAGTCCCTGTTTGTGACTTTTTACGGGCCTGTTGGTGACCGAAAAAACCAGGGGATCCAGTTCGGTGACTGGGAAGATCCAGGTACTGGTAGATACTTTGCTTGATCCCCATCCACCTTCCGAAAGTGTCACATGACACAGCCCGGAAACACAGAACAAATAGAAAACACCGTCCGTGGCTGTTGCTGTTTGGGTAGAAAGAAGACACGGTCCGGACTAAGCGATCGATGCATAGAGGCGTCTTGCCTCTACCCAAAGGGGTTTCTCGATGGATGTGTGGTCCGTGGTTGTTGTTTCCCCTTAAGAGTTGTCCGTACAAAACATGACATGCACATCTACTAGGACTGATGTGTTCATTTCAAGTTACCTTGGCAGACTCAAGAGTCTCATCGTCCTAGTTATCAAGCAGGCATGACTGAGCCATGACAGGCTTGTCGGTTGTAGGCATATTCCATACGTGGAGTGTTTGGGAAAGTGTTTGCTTGTCACGACATCTTGAGTTCACTTCGGGTATTTTCACCCTGCGCAGGAAGGACATCCACAAAAGATGGGCTCAGGGCGTAGAATTTTAGCTTCAAACACCCTTGAGAAGCAGCTCCAAAGAAATCCCGGTAGCTGCACCAAATATCGCCCGCTTGCGCTTAGAGTTGAGGTCAAACCGAGCTATTTGGGCCTTAACAAAAAGGCTCAACAATAGAGATGCAAACGAACCATCTTGGATCGGTTGTCTGGAGAGGATCTGATGAAACAAATCAACGCAGTTTGTTGCCAGGTTCTCCTGTGGGATGTCCGAAACTCTGTCCGAAGGCGTTCTCTGAAACGTTAGCCGTCTTGTTGAGCGTTCGCATCATAAAATTCTAGGTCAGTCAGCTGCACTGTGTTTGTCAGGAATGACTTTGATGGACATAGATTATTTAGATCCATGATGGGACCCTGAGGGCAACACATGACCCCTCGTGTCCTTTCCAAAGAGAGAGAGAGAGAGTGAAACTAGCAGCTTTAGCTTAAGTCTTCAATAGCTTTTTGGAGCGCAAGTGGAAGCGGCATGACTGAGCTAACTTGGTTCAAAGACCACAAGTGTGTATATATATATATATACATGAATCCTAAGCCTCTCATACTGCAAAAAAAAACACCTCCCGGCGTGGCAGTGCGTTTTCTGTGTTGTTTTTTTTGTATTTTGAGTGTTGTTTTAATCGTAACTTGAGGCCAGAGGGGGTGAACGAAAGCTAGCCGGGCTTCCGGTGGTCTGCTGCTGGTGCTGCTGCTGCTGGTGCTGCTGCTGCCGCTGCTGCGCTGGGCGCTGCTGCGCTGGGTGCTCTGCAGGCGCCGGGTCGTCTGCTGCTGCTGGCGCTGGGTGGTCTGCTGCGGCTGCTGCTGCCGCGGCGTTGGGTATGCTGCTGCTGCTGCTGCCGCCGCTGGGTGGTCTGCTGCTGCTGCTGGTGCTGCTGCTGCGCTGGGCGCTGCAGATGCTTGGTGTGCTGCAGCTGCTTGGTGTGCTGCAGCTGCTTGGTGGTCCCGCTCACCGCGCGCAGGGGGGAGTCGAACCGCGGGGGGGGGGGGTCCATAAGATTGATTTAATCAATTATTTGAGGTTTCTGAGGTGCGTCCACCCCGTCACTTAACTTGCTAAAGCAAGAGCAACTCCAGCTAGCTAAGGCTAGCTTTCGTGATGAGATTCCCTCACACGTGAGACTCATGACAGTTCCTTGGAGACTCTGACTTGACCTGTCTTGCTACAGCAAACATATCAACCCCAAGACGCCTCTCACCCGCCCAAGCGCTTCTGCTGATTTCCCGTGTTGTTCTTCTTCCCGTGCTGTCGCGTCGTGTGATCAGTTCTTCTTCACAAGTGCCTCACGTGAGGCACCTGAAAGAACCCAGCTAACATGACCGCCCTGTTCACTCCAACACCTCTCCTTAAGGCACCCATGGTTCATGAGTGAATATCAGTAAGTGCAGAAGATCAAAGACCAACAAATCACTAGCGAGTAGTACTCACACACTCTCCAACCTCTCCAACGAGCATCACAGGATCTGTCTGAAGGATGTAATTCACCGATCACTCTAACCAACAACACTAAACTTTCAGAGGACCAATCGGAACACATAAAGACCATCTGACCAACACTCACACCCAACATCACCCAACCTCAACCAAAAACAGTCGCAGGTCACAGGCATCCAACAAAAAACAGTCGCAGAACATCGCAGAACACGGTCGTCTGCTGCATGTCTCACCGTCGTTGCAGTGCGCACCTTCAAGCCTTTGGTCTTGGTCGAGGAAATCAGCTGAGCCATGGCCTGGAGGCGATCAGCGCGACGCGCGCGGCGACGCGCGAGACATCGCTGATCGCGCGACCGCCGCGTCTCAACGCGACTGGATGAAGGGAAACCACATGAAACAACCTCCCAAACTCTGCCGTTTTTGGCGGACCGGCAATACTGTTCGAAGCACTTAGTCACTAGAGACGTAGATCACGGTCCCTCTGGACTCTGAACCCCTCCAGATTCTCGATCGGGACCAGGTCATCCAACATCCGATCGAGGTCCTTTGAAATGGCTTCGGGGTGGTACAAACAGACCATGGAGGTTTCCAGAAATGGTCCCCAAAACATCCCCGAAATCCCCTGAAGGCCCGAATTCTTGAGGGTTAAGGAACCCTTTCCTTGACCTCTAAGCAGTCAGGGGCCATTATATTCATGGACACCCGGAATCCGTGCTGCTGGTACAAATGGTTGATTGGTCACAACCTATGAACATGGATGATTTGCGAGTCCTCATGGAAACCCTCACATCCAAACACGGGAAAATCTGACGGACAGCAATGCTGTCGAATCAACTGTTGGTGGTTGG